TGATGGTGATGGTGATGATGATGATGATGATGATGATGGTGATGATGGTGATGATGATGATGATGATGATGGTGATGGTGATGATGGTGATGATGATGATGATGATGATGATGATGATGGTGATGGTGATGATGGTGATGATGATGATGATGATGATGATGATGATTATTCACACGCCCGAAAACTCAAAATAATCTATTTCTTTGTTGTTTTTTTTTTTCGCATAACGATAGGTTTTCCATTCTCGGTAGCTATTCTTTTGTTTTGTCCTCCAAAACTTGAGCTGCTTTGACGTCACATGCAAGGGCTCCAAAGGGGAATATAGAGTAGGCTAACTAAAAAAATGTATTTTCTATTTTCTTTTACTATTACTATTACTATTATTATTATTATTATTATTATTATTATTTTATTTTATTTTTTTCTCTCTTTTTGTTTTTGTTTTTGTTTTGTTTTTGTTTTTGTTTTTTGTTTTGACTTTTTTTGTTTTTGTTAGCCTTTCTTTGTTCGCGAAATGTCATTTATGATTTTTTATCATAATTTATGAATTTATTTAGCGCACTTTACCATATGGATATGATCAAAGGCGCTTCAGGAGAGTTATAAAGGATTGGTGGTTAGTATAAGGTCTAGGCACTGAGGATGGGTCACCACCATGTTTTCTGCCGGGGTGGGGGGTGGGGGGGTACTACCACCCCAACTTGGGTAGGGGTGTGCCGCCAGGACCTCAAAACCCTGACCATATCCCAGACCTAAAATTCTGATTTTACATACCCTCCCCCAGACTAAAACTAAGAATTGTACCCTATCCCAGACTAAATGACGTAAATGACGGTTATTCAATAAATTACAATCAATATTTACTAACGTTTTTATTGTTTTTGTGCCGTCAGAAAGCGTAGCCTATTCGCCAGACTAAAACGACCAAATCGTGACCCTATCCCAGACAAAAATGATATCTTATCCCAGACAAAATGTCAAAAAAGTGATACCCTACCCTAGACACAAAAGCCGAAAAGCCATACCCTATAGGGCGACACATACCCGTATAGCAAAAATAGGGGAGTACCCCCCCCCCCCCCGGGGTTTCTGTGCGTCCTCAGTGGTTCTTTTACGCCCGTCCGATATTGGTTAGTATTAAAAAATAGGGGATTCTTTATAGATTAAGCAAAAACTTTAAAAATAAAATATTCCTACGTGTTTAGAAGAAGCACTATCGATCTCCCTCTCTTTTTAATGAAAACCTTGAATCGCACCTCGTGTCAACTAATAACTGATAACTACAATCATATACCTGGAAATAACATTTTCCGTTCCATTTTGGCATAGTATTTTAACCGTTTATCAGTCAATAAGTTTTTTAATTCACAGTAATCATGATCAAAGCCATGGGCTATATTTAATAGCTCTTGCTTTAAAATGGCTAAAAATAACCTGTTTTAAACAACTCATAAATAATGCATATTTTAAGTGTAAAAATGGCCCAAAATCCAAAAAACATGGGCTATAGTCCATGCGTTTTGCCCGAAAATGGACAAAAATGAAGTATTTTGTGTACCTCATAAATAATGCATATTTTTTGAAAAGGTGTGAAAATGGCCCAAAATCGATCAAAACCATGCGCTATAGTCCATGCTTTTTGCTTGAAATTGTCCAGAAATGAGATATTTTGTCTACCTCATACATAATGCATATTTTTTGAAAAGGTGTGAAAATGGCCAAAAATCCATCGAAACCATGGGCTATAGTCCATGCGTTTTGCTCGAAAATGGCCAAAAATAATGTATTTTGTCTTCCTCATAAATAATGCATATTTTTCAAAAAGGTGTGAAAATGGCCCAAAATCGATCAAAACCATGGGCTATAGTCCAAGCTTTTTGCCCGAAAATGGCCGATAATGAAGTATTTTGTCTTCCCCATAAATAATGCATATTTTTCAAAAAGGTGTGAAAATAGACCAAAATCCATCAAAACCATGTGCTATAGTCCATGCTTATTGCCCAAAAATAGCTGAAAATTAGCTATTTTGCATTCTTCATAGATAATTTATATTTTTTGAAAAGGTGTGAAAATGGCCAAAATCGATCTAAAGCATGGGCTATAGTCTATGCTTTTTGCCCGAAAATGG